AGATTCAGCATCCTGCTGACATGTCAACACCATGTCCTCATTAATACATTTAAATATATTTCCCTTGATTTTGTGTGTTTATACAAGACAGCTCCATGACTCTCAGCTTTTTTTCTAATAGCAGTCCCTGTCTCTGATCTTTCAAAGTTAGTGATCCCTTAATTATTTAATGTACAGTATGTATAAATAAATCTTTAATGAAAACATGTTATGATTGCCACTATGTAAATGATTATATTTCAATAACTAATTAAAATTAGACGCATCATCGTATAATTAGATTTAGAAGTAAAAAACTTGCCTTATGTGCAATGTACATGATTAGATACCTTTTTTTTCTAAAAATGAATACCAATTTAATTGAATATAGTTTGGGTTTTGTTGTGAAGTGTAACCATTAATATTATTGTAAGGTACAAGTAATGGGGATCCCTATAGCATGAGGTAGTTCTGTGCGTGCGTGCGTGTGCGTGTGCGTGTGTGTGTGTGTGTGTGTATTTGTGAGGGTGTGTGTAAATGAACTTGATTATTTTGTTATGAAGTTGTTTATTTCACCAGGTATTAAAGAATAAGATTCTTCTTATTCTTGGATAACTTGAATTACAAGATGACAGGTCATAGCTAGTTTACTTTTAAGTAATTAAAAGTTCTACAAGGCTATGAAGACCATGGTCACATCAGTCAACAAAAACATTAAAAATAATAATAATTATTGCATCTTTTTATGGCATAATCCAATTATGATATGATCATTCAACATCAAGCCTTTATGCGATGTGTTTAGTTTTGCTTAATCTGTCAAGGAGCACTGATAGTTTGGATAGAAACTGTTAAAAAGTAAGGTAAAATAGCTCCAGCATCATTCATTTTCTAGGCCAGTGTTTCTAAATGGTGGCCTCTCATCACTGCACATTTTGTCTTATCTGATACAGCAAATTAAGGTCATGAATATGACTTCACAAAAGAACTAATAAGCTGAATCAGGCATGTTTGAAGAATCATTCAAAATGTTAGTTTCCTTTTCAGATTATTCTAGGATTATAAGGGATTACCATTCTCTTTGAACGCTTCTAATCTATACGTCCACTTGTACATCATATTTATACTGTCGATACATTACATCCGTGTAAAACAGAAATACAGCATGTGGTTGTGATGAGAGGGCGGGGCCGAGAGCCGTGGGAACGGAGCGAGGCCGGTGGAGTAAATGCTACTGCGCGACACCTGTGAGTCCCACGGAGGAGCCCCAGATTACATAAAGACTACATGTAGTCCCAGACTACATAAAATATGAGTTAAAGCCGGGGTGTCTTGCAGAGTTTATCTCCAGCCTGCCTCAGCACACTTACCTGTAAGTTACTTGGGCTGTGTCTGAAAGCTTGGGCAGCTGACTTGTTGCCTATCAGCCAACTTTTTTTTCAGCTTTTGGATGCAGCCTTGTACTCCTAAAGACCTTGATTAGCAAGTTCAGGTGTGTTTAAATAGGATAGGAGCTAAACTCTGCTAGACATGACAGGAGCAGGATTGGACTTCCTTGGGTTACAGCTTTGGTACTGTCTTGGATCTCCATATGATGGCCAGTGTAAAATCTATGGCACTGTTTGTTTACACCTGGTATTAAGATTCATTTTTGTCAATTCAATCATGAGTGGACAATGTTAAATAAATTGTAAACGGGGTCTAAAATGTTTTGAGCTTGTCCATTTTCAGCCATTTCCAGAACAAGTAAAAAACACATTTCTTTTGCTATCGTAGTGTAGACACTCATGTGGTTAAATGTGGTTAAACATCCACAAAAGACCACCTGTTCTCCACCAACTGACTTCTAACACGCTCCCGCCATGTTTGCCATGGTATTGTGGCTATTAGAGCAGAAACAAAAGCTTCTCATCTTTCATCTTGTCTCCTTTCTCGTTCAAGTGTAAGTTGTGAGAGCTTAGTTTGTGCTTTAGAAATATATGAAAAAGCTTGAATATATACACCCTGCAAACAAGCCTGCACTGGCCCTTTACAGGCCCACTTAGGGCTAGCCTTAGGGCGTTCATTGGCAAAACGTTGGCCCCTTAGTGCTGGCCCTGCATGGGCAGCTCTCACTTAGCCCCTATAAAGCCCTCACTATGCCCACACAGGGCCCGCACTATTAATCTGCAATACATCTGTTTCACTTTAAATACTTTCCAGCTACTATAACTTAAGTCTTTGGGGAAAAAACAGTTATTATTAGGGCTGTGTATCACCAGCAAAGTCACAATACGGTACGTATCACGATACAGAGGCCACGATACAATACGTATCACGATACATGACTGCACTGAATTTCACCTCAGCACAATTTTGAAAAACAGCTGTTTATTAAACACTGCTTACTATAGTGCAATTTCTAACTATTGGCAGAGCAGGCAGTTGACCTCTGCATTATGAAGGGCCTCCATAATTGTACCACAGTACAATATAGGTAATTGCATATGTTTCATGTTTACATTGTGCACTCCCCACCAGGTACAATATTCTGATTGTTTGCATCTTGTTTTTAAGCCCATAAATAATAATGTACTTGTTCTAATAAATGTATATTGTAATGTACTCATTCTAATATATTGAAAAAATAATTTACATTGCTGGTAGGTTATCATTGCACAAATTAACACACTCTCTACAATAAAAAAAAAGAAAAATGAAAAGAGTTCTAAACTAACGCGCTGTCTTCACTGTATCT